CATGGTGGCAGGATTGTGTAGCAGGTTCCTAACACCACAGTACACTTGAGCAGAGAGTGAGCTAGAATCGATGCTAAATATGACCTTCAAAGTTCCTCCCCGGTGACCTGCTCCACCAGCTATCTCTACTTTCTAAAGCTTCCACAGCCTCCCAAACAGCACGACCACTGGGGCAAGCATTGAGAACAGGAGCCTGTGAGGGGTTCAGGTTCCGTTGCCCCTGAACTCAGGCTGCTTCAGTGAAGGCCTGATTAGTGCTCATGGTGACAGCAGAACTTGATGTTCTCCACATGGGGCAGCTGAACCTGTGAAAAAACTTCCCCCAAATGGCCCTTGTCCAGAACATCCCAGTGACTGTTGGGGTTTTTTTGTTTTTTTGTTTTTGTTTTGTTTTGTTTTTAGCTTTTCAATTTTTAAAAAAAATTTAATAACTACATGATTAGAAGAAGCATTTCCTTGCAGCTTTAACATATTCAGTAACACACTTCAGGGCAGGAGCACATCTCTCTCACAAGTGGCTATAAGTTTCCAGGTTCACAGTTGAATTAATACAGCTATACAACTTGGTGCCTACGTATGTTGATAAAGTCATTGGGTAGATTTTAATGGTAATGTTTATCACCTCTACTATTTAGCATGACACAAACTTTTATGCTTCCTCCTCAAATATAATACATCTTTTTAAATTTGTATTTTTCTTTTTGTGTGTATGTGCCCCAAACCATCTTATTCAACTATACACCCACTTCCCAGATGGCATCCTCCCATAACCTCCTTCCCCCCCACTAGAGCCCTTATACTCAGATATCCCTGTCTGCTATATTGTTGGCACCCCCAGCCATTCTCAACTACTTGTCCATCTGGTGAATCTAGTCAGCCTATCTAGAGGGCTTTGTTTTAGGAAGGTCAGCTGCTCCTCATCTAGCTGCAATCAGTTGTCAATATTCCTTTAGATAAGATTGGAGTCTGCTGTTCTTTTTCCCAGTTCTATGCTGGGTTACTATCTGGGAGTCCCTTTGGCCACCCTGCCCAACAACTCAAAAGGAAGTAGGTCCTATCTGGCATTGTTGCTTGTTATGTACCCTTTAGCTATACATATGGATACTTAAAAAATTATATTGGCCCCTTTAATCTTTGGTTATACTTTCTTTTTGGGTGTTTAAGGCCATACAGTTGGCCCAGATAAACCAATTTATTTTTACTCTTAAGGTCGTTTGAGGATCTGTTCCTCAGGGGTCACATGGGCTTGGGAGGAGCTCCTGGCTCTTCTTTTACCAGTTGTGCCTGTGTGAAGATAAGTCAAAGGTCCTGCTTGACCATGGCTGGCTTCGTTTGGAAGCATGGAAGAAATGATTCCTCTGAGTTGACCCTCCTCTTTGTAGACTGGACACTGGTTCAAGTCCATCTGGTGGGGTCTCCTCGGCCTCTTTGATCAAGAGGACAGGTGACCCACCACAATTACAGGACATTTTGAGAGATGCTCATAGTACCCTGGAACTAGTCGACCTAGGAGGGCAAGGAGCAAAAAGCATCCTTTATGTCCCTCTGACCAAATTATATATAGGCCTCAAAGTATGTCTGTTAAACATCCAAGAAAGTTACTTCCAATTACTATGTGTCATGTAGATAAATCTTGGGCAAAGACCAATTGTTCACAGATAAACTTGACCTAGACATATATTTCTTGATCTGATATGTATAATTTGTCAGTAGGGTGTGGGAATAATATGGTTCCCTCTGGTTTTCAAAACTTGGTAGGCATTCTTCGCATTGTCTCCCCCCTCCATCATGGTTTTCCCACTTAAGGTGCCTCCATTTCCCCCCTTTCTCCCTTACTAATACCCTTCTCCTACAGTCCTACCTCTCTTGAGCACTTTCTTTCCCTTTATCCCCTAGGTTACTTGAATAACCTTCCCTCCCCCCTCCCTGAAACTAATCCAATTTTTACCCATATCTCCCTTATTAAGGCCTGATTCCTACTGCTCTTCTCCTTCAGGTTCTTTCTTTTCCTTTACCTCCCTGTTTCCTTTCCATTA